ATTATTTGATCAACTATTTGCAACAAAAGAAAATAGTCTCCAATCAAAATCAGATGATCACACTAAAAACAAACAAGAAGAACCATCACAATCGACATCTTTTTTCTCCGAAAATCAAGAAGTTCTAATTCAAAATCAATCAGCAGCTAAAAAACCAAAAAAAGTCAAGACCTTCACCGATCAGTTGAAAGAATATGAAGTAACTGGTGTGAAATCAGAAACAGTTTTAAAATTTGAACTAGCTATCCACAGAATTCAAGCAACTTCCTCGGAAGCAGAAAGAGTTTTCTCCTCGTCTTCCAGATTTGTCACAAAGTTTCGTAGTTCGCTTTCTGATGAAATGATAGATGTTTTGATCTTTTTAAAATATTATTTAAAAAGATCTTCAGTATAAATACTTTTTTTTTCAAATTTTATTTTTAATTTTTACTATAGGTGCCCCAACAAGTCTTTATTGCATAGCAACGCAGAAGGGCATTTAACTGAAAGTTCACGCCTTCTTCCTAACCGATGCCGGTTAGAAAGCCAATTATTAGATACAACTTGTTTGTTAAAAAATTGTGATAAAAAAAATATTTATGTACTAAGAAATATAAAAATATAAATTTTTTAAAATTTTATTATGAATTATAAAATAAAAAAAAAAAATAATAAAAATAAAAAAAAAAAAAAAAAATAAAAATACAAGAACAATGTTTAATTATCAAATAGAGAGTTTAATTTTTTTATCAAATAGATAGTTTAATTTTTATAACAAAATATTATCGACACTCCGATTTTTTCTCGACTCCGACGGAGTTTTTTCTCGATTTCTCTCGACTCCGTTTCTTCTCGATTTTGGATCCTTTGCTATTTTGTTAAGCTCGAAATTGATGGTAGCAAAGGTTTTCTCAAGTTTTGCCTAAGCATTGTTGATACTGCGTTAAGGGATAAAACCAGCTTACCGCTCCAACAACAACCTCTCACTCAAAGGACTGGTAAAGTCACTGGAGTCAAGTGACAAATTATTGTTGGGGTTTCAGAAGATTTGCCAGAAACACACTTTAATATTGAACAAATCACTGATGGTCACTGATTATTTCAAATGGAGTTAAACTATTTTTGGCTTGTGATATAAAAGTTGCAAATATAATTTGTGGTCTTCAAACTCATTCAAGTACGCACCCTTGCACCTGGTGTGACGTCAAATCCAATTGTCTTGCCAAATCTGGAAACTTGCGAACACTGGGCTCAATTAATTCGAGCCTTGAATATTTTCAGCAATCTGGCGGGTTTGTTGCTAATGCAAAAGCTGTTTGGCAATGTCATTTGAAAGCCAATCATCTGCAGGCCTGGGAATGTTATGATTTTGGAAATCATTACATCGATGGAATTTCATCTCCTCTTAGGAGTTATCAGTCATCTTTTCAAGATCCTTAAAACTCCTTGTAGAAGTTGTTAAGTGGCCAGCCGCCCTCCACATTCAACTGAGCCCGTATCAAGGGGGCTAGTTTGAGGGAAATGAATGCAGGAAGCTTCTTAAAAATCTGGATAAGCTGCAGCAACTTGCTGAGACAAACATGGTTTCCAATATTGTGTGCATAATTGAAGCATTCAAAAACTTCAATTTATTTGTCAAGGCTAGCTTTCGATACATCCTTCAGTCGGATTTTGCTAAAAAAAATTAAAAATTTCAAAAAGTATTATCTAATGATAACTGGTGTAAGCATAACACCCAAAATTCACGCCGTCTTCTACCACATCAAGGATTTCATCAGTCACAAAGGATGCCCCTTGGGGCCCTATAGTGAACAAACTGTCAAAACTTCTCATCAAGATTTTTATCAACATTGGTCGAGGTATAAGCAAAATAATAATCACCTAGAGTACAAAGAAAGATTGTTGGGCTGCATAATTAATCTAAACAGAAAGCATCTTTAAAGAACATCATTTGAGTTATTAGAAATTAAGCTGCTGAAATTCATATTTTACGGCGTATAATGAATATTTTCACCATCTTTAAAAGTAGTATTATGAAGTATTTTTATTAAAAGAATACATTGAGCTATTTATTAATAATCTTTTGGTGGAGAAAAACAAATAAATATTTCTTAAAATGTAATTAGATATTTGATGGTAATACAATGTAATACCATCAAATATATTTTGTATTTAAGGAGGTCAATACAAAATATTTTAAGAGATTTACTTTTTTTTTTGTTTTACTAACTGGTAGTCCTTTGACCAGGTTTTCACTTTTTTTTAGCTTTTTTTTTGGCAGCAGTTTATACCTTAGAAAATGTTGGTATATTCAAGCGAAGCATACATGGCCGTCAACGCCGGGAAGGCTAGGGGTCATATCCTTCTCTACTTTTTTTTTGCGAGGACCTTTTGTTTTAGAAATATAGGCAATTATTTTAGAAATTATGGATTTTATTTCAGAAATTGAGGGGTTGACCCCCTTTACTTTGAAGGCCGTGTCGACACTATTAGCATAAGACTATTTAAATCACGCTTTAAGTAGAAAATCACTATTTTGGTCTATAAAATGAAAACTCTACATGAACCGATAAAATAATTATAACAAAAATTGTTGGTATTACATAGTAGAACACTAATGTAACCGTTATTTTAAAAATAGTGACCGAATTTCAAAGTAATCGGTAACGCTTTGAAGTATAAGTAGCAAAAAACTGGCAAAACTTCAACTAAAACTGCAATAAATTCTACACCAGTCATCCAATCAGGCTGAACTTTTTCCAGAGTTTGGTGTGACTATTGGCTACATTTGCACCAATTTTTATCAAATTATATTGAGTGGTTCAAATTCTACAAGTGTTTTTATTGGCACACTATGAAGTCAAAATTTGACTTAATTTGAACATTCAAATTAAATTATTTTCCGCGAACAAAATTAAATGATTTCAAAATTTGCATCATAGGGTACCTTAATGTGTACGCTAACTTTCCGTATAAGTGGCGTTCTTAGGACAGCTAGGTAGGCATTATAAGGATCCGTGCTAACCGTGTATGGTAAGCTGAGGTTTTATAAACTATTCTAATAACCTACCCTAACATCCAACCGTATATAAACACACGCGCTAACTTTAGAGTATAAAAATAATAGTTTGTAGACGTCATACCATTCAGATTTGGCTAAGATGAGAATCCTAACACTCACTTTAAACGATGAAACGCCACTTTTTATAATGACGTCTAAAGACTTTGGCTGAGCTACGCTATCAGGCATGCGAAACATATAAAAAAAATTCATCATTGTACAAGGTAAGATCTTTCTTTTTCATTAAACAATTTACAAGAATTTATACTCAGAATCTTGGCTGCATTGAATTGGTTGAAATCGGAAGTAGCTTGTAAAAAATAAATTAATACCGATGTTAAAAAGTATTTGAAACATTAAATTTAAACCATTAGGTCAAGACTAACTATATTTGTGTTTAAAATATCAACAGAGTTTAATTTTAATGAAGATGGTTGTTGCTGACAAGAGAATAACTTTTACTTTTTAATGGAAAGATTATTAGTTATTTCTTAAAAAATAGCTGTCATATAATTTTTAGTGAAAAAAGCCTTAAGATTTTAGGCTATTTGAGAAGATCTAAATTAATTTATATTGTTTTTTTATTTCTTTAATGATGGTTTAAAATATTGAAGTACTTTGACTTTGGTAACTTCGACTTTGTTCTGAACAATAAATGTTACTGGCATTTAAAATTTATTTAAACAAATTGTGTATATATAGTAAAAAAAAATTTCAGTGGAATTTCAGTTTTGTGTATAAGGTTGTTGTGTTCAAAATTGTATTTGAAAATTATTTAAGATTTTAAAAATATTTTTACAATAATTTAGCAAACGTTTTGTTCATTTTTTTTTTTTATCTTTCATAAACTTAAAAAATGATATTAGGAACAGTTATTGTTGACTTGCTATTAAGTCAAAATAAGATTGTATGTTTATCTTTTATATTGTGCAATTTTATAATCTGACAACAATGTGAATGTTTATTGTGCCTGTTAATTTTAATAAATAAATTTTTTATTGTTGTTTTTTGATACTTTTTAAATAGATAACAGTATTGACATAAACGATTTAAAAATAAATCTGCTTAAAAAAGCGTGTGACGTGCTGTGCAACGACAATGAGAGTGTTTCATTTGCATATACACTCAATCTTTCAAAACAGAAACAGGGTTTTTACAAATTTAAAACATCCACAAATGTTAATCACATAGCAACGAAAATTAAATAAAAATGCAGCTTTACTTGTTGATCCCTTTTGCTAATTTTAGTAGATTAAATATTCCTGTATATTAGCACAAACCTGTATATTGTACAACCCAAAAGAATACCACTGACGCAAAATGTTTTTTTAAAATAACTATTAATAACAACATTTAATTGATGATTAAATGCAAAGAAAATAAAAACCAAGAAACACATTGTATGTATTAACTTCGTTACCAAGCCTTTTTATAAACTACTTGTTAACACACAATATGTGTTTATATCCTAACAAAGTTTTTAAATAATGTAGTAGGTAACACATCTAGCCTGTTTATTTTTTTAACAAAAAATTATAACTTAATATGAGATAATTGTGCGCACTAATCTCATAAGACTTTAAACTCACATGTTAAACCCATTAAGGTTTTAGTTAAAACTTCAAAATCTTCGACAAAAATAGCCAAAAGAATTAAAGATTAATTTCTGTGATCGGTAACACCAAAAAATTTGTAAATGTTAGACTTTACAATATAAAGATAATATTAAAGAGTTTGAAACTAGTAATGAGAGAAAATAGCACCGGTAACATAATTATACATATCACTTGGCTAATTGCATATTTTTGTAATAATAGAAGTTAACTTAATATCTACTGCAATGATATACGTAAACATCTACTTGCAGTGATATACGTAATTATATATTGCCGTATTGTTAAAAGTACAGTAATAATATGAGATTTACAAACAAAATTTCACATCTAAATAATTAAAGTACCTGATTCGAATTTCTTTACAAGGTCGACTGTCTTTCCTTTATTTTTGGCTTGCATTCTGATAGACAGAATATAAAAATAACAAAGTTCATTAATGACAGTTCTAGTTTTTCCATATAGTTTGACTAGACATAACAATAGAGTACCTGGTTTGACTAAATAAACCAATACATTAATTGTTCTGCTAAGTCTGATAAGGCTATCCAAAATATCTTTTCATATTAAAATCTGATTCGATGCATCGTGTATAAACACGGTTATTTACGCTTAAGTTTTGTTTACAAATTACAATATTAAAAAGGTTTTTCAACTGTTTGTTAAGCTCTGTTTTAATATTTGTATTAATAATATTTTGGTTTTAGTGATATTGGAATGAATTATTTGTAATATTAGAGTTATTTCAACAAGTTTAAATGAATGAAACTGAAATGCTAGAACCCTTTTGGTAAAACTAGAATTTAATTCTTTCTTTTTTTCTTACAAAAGCATTATTCTGTACAAGTTCTATTCCTGTTAGCTAAACTTAGATTTCCCAGTTTTGAGTACTTATCTGCGTCAAAGGCTACATCAGTTCGTTTATTTATGGTTAAAAAACTTTGTTCGTTTGTTTATATGTCAAAGAATTTACGAGTAAAATCAAGCTGGATGTTTTCACTTGCTTGTTATAAACCCTAACATTATAAGTCTAATATCGTAGTAACTGCCAAAACTCTAAATTTTAAAAAGAAGATGAAAGTTTTATACAGTTCTACAAATTATAAAATTACAAACCTATATTGATGTTATCTGTCTTTTCAAAACAAATTTTTGACATAATATATTTGAATTTATCAGCAGAGAATTTTCTTTCAATGAATTTATATAGTGTATGTTTTTAGACTTTTCAAAGAGATTCGACACCATTTGTCATCATTATTTCGTTAGAAAAATTTTACTATCATAACTCGTGAGAAAATATTCCAGCAAATATTGTTTAAGTGGATTAACAGTAGACCTATAAAGGCATTTTTTCAGCGGTTCACTTAGTAGACCATTAGTGGCACTAATGGTTCACTAAGTCAACAATGAGCAAAACTACAGTGGTCCGCTCAAAATAATTATAAAGGTGCACTGAAATTCCGCCATAAGTTTTGTGTGTTAAGACTATTTGGACTACATTGAAGTAGAAAACTTGGAAAATTGGAATTAATTGGTTAGCTAATAATTTTAGTTTTGCTTGAGAAGATCCAACGAATCCAATCAAGAAAAATGGTTTCCTGCTCAACATTTTGATTGCTTTTTAAACTTGAACAAAATTACAGATAAAATAAATAAAGTAAATAAATTTTATTCATAATAGTTTGAATTGTGCAAAATATGTTTTACAATTCAAGCTATGAGAAAATATTATTTTCTTTAATACTTATACATAAAGATTGAAGCGGGAGGCTGAATAAGCGTGAATTTCATAAGTGCGAACTGGCATAATTGCAAAGCATTGCAAAAATTGGCAAAAGTGCAAACTGGCATATGTGTGAATTGGCATAAGTGCGCCAAAAGATTTTAAAAACATCTGCTTAAATGCGAACTGGTATAAGTACGAATTGGCATAAGTACAAACTTTCATAAATGCAATGCAGTTACAAAAACTGGCATAAGTGCGCCGAATAAAATTGCAAATATTAACATATGTGCAAATTGGCATTTCGCACTTATGCCAATACGCACTTATGCCAATGTTTGAAAATTTATTCGGCGCACTTATGCCAATTTGCGCTAATGCCAGTTAGCACTTGTGACAGTTTTTGAAACGCTTCGCACTTGTGCCAGTTCGCAATTATGCCAATTTGCATTTATGCTAGTTTGCACTTACGCCATTCACACTTATGCCAGGTGGCACTTATGAAATTCGCGCTCATTCAGTCGCCCCAATTAAAGCTATGAAAATTAAAAGTTTGCATAATTTGTTTGAAAATTGAAATAAATTATAATAATATATAAAAAGTTTGTAAAACTTGCCTGAAAAAAGATTGATTTCCGATTAACAATTTTTTGTCAGCAAAAAATCCACTGCATGGTACAAAATAATCTTGCAACTCGCAAGCGAATAGCTTTATACCAATTTTTGAGCAATTTTTTGATTGCATTATTGTTTCATTTATTATTTGCATTATGATTTGCAGTGAACCTATATAGATATTTTTTAGTTCATTGAAGTTTTGTTCATCGGTTACTTAGTGGACCATTTAAGGCAGCCGCTATAAATGGCAAGCCGATAATTTTCCGACATGTTAATAGTGGTTAGCCATCGGTTAGCCACTTTTGGCGGCTGCCACTAATGGTCCACTAAGTAACTGATGACCAAAACTACAGCGGTCCGCTCAAAATGTCTTTATAGGTCCACTAAAATTCAACTATAAAATGTTTGCTTTGTAATTCCACTGTTGTTTTGCTGATCGGCTACTTAGAGGACCATTAGTAACAGCCAAGTGGCTTACTAATGACTAGTCATAATTAAAATGTCGGAATGTTATCTGCTGGCCGTTTATAGCGGCTCCCACTATCAATCTAATAAGTAGCAGATGAAACTGCTCAAAATGCTTATATTGCTCCATTGAAATACCTCTACAAAAACGTTTGCTCGCCATGCACAATAATATATATATATATATATATATATATATATATATATATATATATATATATATATATATATATATATATATATATATATATATATATATATATATATATATATATATATATATAACCCATTGCGGTAGTAATTGGGAAAAAGTTTTAGTTTTTTTTAAGGTAGAGCTTTTATTTGAGAAGGTACTGCAGACGAAAAAACTTTAAAAAATTCTTTCAAGTTAAGTTCTTGATAATGTGCTTATTTTTAACGAGAAAGAAAAGAAGTTAAAAAGGTTTCAGGTAAAGTGGGCAGCAACTTTTACCCACCCAAAATTAAATCAAGTATTGTTAAATTTAACAATTTCTCAAAGCAAAAACATTTCATTTTTTCCTAATAGTGACGTGTTCAAACTAACTACGATTACGGAAGAAAGAAAGAAAAACTTCAATGTATTAACAAAAGAAGGGTTACAATTAGAGGGAAAAATAAATGCTAATTGTACATAAGTAGAATTAATAGCAAAACTAGACTTTTTATTACTTTTGAGGCATGCAATGCTAATGATACACCATTGGTATAACATGCCTAAATATTTATCTTATATTAAAAAGATATTCACATATCTTATTTGGACATTGAATAGGACTCCACTGAGTACAAAGTCTTTGACACTTTTATAGGATATTGAGCAAAATATTAGAAAAATTAACAAAGCAATACAACATATAATATACTGTTTGCTATAATATTTTTACAAAATGAAATATTGTAAAAATAAGAAACTCGAAAAAAAATTTCTCTACCCAACATATAGGTTATAAAAACTTTATTATAATTATAATATTATCTTCGGTTTCATGGAGTTTTATTGGAGGTCTTATTTTTGTCTTTTCTTTTATGCTTTTTTTTGTTTTTAAAATTGTTTTATATATATTCAATATTGTTTGTCTATTTTATAGGGATAATAGTTGAGCATTTTTTGAGTGAGAAGTTTTTTTAATTTTTTTAAGACTCAGTTTTTAGAGCCTTAATTTTAGACAATTGCATTAGTTCAGTAGGTTTTTGTTTCTTTGTGTTTTGTACGTACCCAATTCTAATAAATTTTAAGGTTTTTATTAAAAGATGTTTGAAAATTTTCAAAATTTCATTATACTAATTTGTTTTATTTTCAAGTAAGGAATTTTAGAAAAAAGAAAGGTTGCTGCTTTTTGATAGTCTAGAGAACCTGTGGAAACCGCCTGCAGTATTTTGAACCGCCTGCAGTATTTTGAACCGCCTGCAGTATTTTGAACCGCCTGCAGTATTTTGAACCGCTGCAGTATTTTGAACCGCCTGCAGTATTTTGAACCGCCTGCAGTATTTTGAAATTACATGACTTTGCAGACAAATTTTAGTACTGTTACCAGACCAATTGAACTGTATATTCATAATTAGAAAAACTGCATCATTTTTATGTAAGTTACCGAGCCCACGGGTTTTGTAACTGACATGAAATTGATGCAATACAGTGTTATAGAGCGTTGTGTTAAAAAAATTATATATATACAGTTCAATTGGTCTAATAACAGTATTAAAAAAAGAGCCAGACTCAGAAATTTTTTCTCCTGTAATTTCAATGTTGCTCTTTGAATTTGAAAAATTAAGTAATTTTAAACTCATTATTGAATTTTTGTTGAAGAACGCAAGTGAACATAGAACAGAACAGAATTGTCCAACTAAAGAATGATTTTATTACATTTTTTAATATTTTCACAACTTTAATTAAAAAAAAAATTAAACACTATTCAATTAAGTTAATTCAATATCCGGATATTGAACAAAATGTTATAAGTAGAACAAAAAAGATCTAAAAATTTTGATAAGCATTGCCGATTTTATACATTTTATCTTAAATATTGAACAAGAATATCTTTAAATAAAATACTATAACAACAACTCATTTTTAGTAAAAAGTAGATATTAAACAAACCAATTCTCGGGTGACGCAAGTAATATATGAGCTGTTTTTAATAAAACTTGTTTATTGGTTTTTTCTTTCTCACTTACGTCATCACGGTAAAATTTGCCCAGCTTCAATTTTTCTGCCTAAGCCGAATCCAGTAATTTATATATCTATATGTATCACGTTCAGGAGCAAATTTTTTGGTAAATGATTCAGAGGGAATTGAATTTTGAATTTTCAAAACCTGCTATGATTAATTATTTTTTAATAATTTAATAACGGTTAAAACGTAAAACTTTAATAAATATAATTACAAAAAAACATCTTTTAGACATAGTAGTGTTAAAAAAAAAAAAAATAATAATAATAAATAAAGTAGAAATAAAAAACATTTTTAACTTTTTTTTTAACTTTTTTTTAAAAAAAGAACAAACTCAGTTTCTTATTATGCTTTGTCAAAATCTGATATGGGTTCCATTAAGTTTTATCTACGTAGATGTATTAGATGCTTAAGTACATATAAATCTGAATAGTAAAGCTCAAAACCGATGGTTTATTGCAAATTAATTTGCCTCGCCTAAACTTGATAAACCAAAAAGCTAAACTTGATGAGTCAAAAAGCTAGAGTTAAGACTCAGCATTTCTTTGCAGAGCTTCGATTTTTTTAATATTATCGCGTAAGATGTTAAATGCATCGTCCGATAAATCTCTTTCTAAATCTAAGGAAAGAAAATAGACGTATAAAATAGACGTATATACATAAAATAAAGTAGGAAAAAAAAAAAGAAAAAGAAAGAACTACTATTACCAATTTCTGTATTTCCGACCAACTCTTTTTCAAGCTGTAGTTTTCTTTCACCACAGGTCAAAATATTTTCTTCGACAGTGTCTTTGCCAATAAACTTATACACAGTTACTTGCCTATATACCCCAAATTTAATTTAAAAACTTTTAAAGTATCCGAAATTATTGTAAAGCCAAGATTAAAAATATATATTTATCTCGCTGTGCAATAAAACTATTGGGTAAGATGTACAAAGTTAAACAACAACAACAAAAAAAAACCTAGTTTGACCAAGCCGATGACACCTATCTTCAGCTTGTTTATCGTTGTAAGGATTAAAATCAATATCGTGGAGCACAACAGTGTTAGCTGTAGTTAAATTAATTCCTAGTCCACCTAAAAATACAATAGACAAGTCAAAACAAACGAAAACAAAACACAATTATACATATATATAAATAGATATATATAGATATACTTCAAAAGTATGTCTCCATAACATTTGAAATATTTTGCATTTATTTCAACTTAAATGCTCTTAACCTTTGCCTACTTAACACATAATTTTTTAAAGACAACTAAGTATTGTCTTTTACGCGCAATCAAGACGTCGTGTGTTTACTGGGTGACTATTGCAGTTTATTTTTTGGTTTATTATGTCAATAGTAAATTACAAATATAACAAAATAAAAGAAAGAAAAAAATAAACCAGCTCGTGTAGAGAGTAAAAATATAAATATTTCTTCGTTGTGATTAAACTTGTCTATTAGTTCTTGTCTAAATATAAAAATTTAAAAGATATATAACTATAAGTTCTTGTCTAAAGATAAAAATTTAAAAGATATATAAAAAAAAACAACAATTTGAAATTCAGCCAAAAAAAATTGCATTAAATAAAATACCAACTGCTTTCAATATTTATGGTCAGTTCTTATTAAAGCTGAGCAAAAAGTCATCAAGATTGTACTATTATTGCATATATATATATATATATATATATATATATATATATATATATATATATATATATATATATATATATATATATATATATATATATATATATATATATATATATATATATATATATATATATATATATATATATATATATATATATATATATCTTCTTTATATATTTTCGTTGAAAATTTTTCTTTCAAAGAAAATATATATATTTTCTTTGAAAGAAAAATTTAACAACATGGATGAGGTAAGAAAGTTCAATAGTGATGAGAATGTTAAGTATTGACAAACTGGGTCAAAAAACTTTAAAACTTGTTCTTAAACTTTTAATTCTTTTATATAATATATATTGGTTTGAATATTTGTCAAAGAAACATGTAAAAGTTAAGAAATAAATCTTAAAAAAGAAGTGAAAAAACAAGTTTTTTGCTCAGTTATTCCTCAGTGGCATGGTTTGTTCTAGACATCTGTATTTTGCAGAATCATGGTTTGTTCTAGACATCTGTATTTTGCAGAATCATGTTTGCAGAAAATTTCCTCACTAAAAATCTTTATAAGGATTTAAAATTGTTATGTTTTAAACTTGAAGTTTGAAATACAGAACTTGAAGTTTGTAACTTCAGACCTTGACAAGAAGAAAAGAAATGCGTTGGATTTTCATTTAAATCTTTTTCAAGATGATACCACAGTGAGCATTGTTATATTTAACAGATATACTTGCACTACATTTTCTATTTTATTTAAAGGAATAGTTTTGCAGAATGAGCCTCGTCACTTTAACGTCAAAATTAAGCAACAGGAAGGTAACTTATGCACTAGTTTCTGCAGCTCAGAGTCGAAACCACAGTGCAGATGAGTTAAAAACCAGCCATTCATCAACCCACAGGGAAAGTAAAAAAATTATTTAACAAAAGGCCATGTGCTTTTATACAACAACAACCAAAACTGGTTGCAGAAGAGGTGCCTGTGTTTTGTTAGAACAGAAATTAGAAAAGAACTTCATTTAACATATATTTCATATACTTCAGATCATGTTTACATGTTAAATTTAACATTTAACATGTAAACATGATGGACAAATGATGATGTTTATTTAATTAAGTAAAAATTGAAAATAAACTGGACAAACTAAAAATTAAAAAAAAAACCTTTCATTTCCTTTAGTGCTACCATCTAGTCGCAAATATTTGATCTTACGTATCTTTAAATATTCTTCAAGAATGTCAAGAACAATTACAAATTGACTGAATAATAATACACGATCATTCTAAAATTGTAAATATTTAAATAATTTCTCTAAATTTAAGTAAAGACATTTTAAAATTTTGACATTTATAATAAGTTGAGATTTAAACTGAATCTTTAATATTCTAAATTAAAACTGAATCTTTAATATTCTAAATTGAACTTAAAACCTATAATTATATATTAAAAGGACAATATAAAAATAATAAGAACTATATAAAAATTTATAAAACTTTTTTTTTAAAATTTAGACATTTATTTAAAAAAATGTCACCGTCATCAATCTTTGACTTTCTGCCCAATTTTATGGTCTTCAAAAGTCTTTAAAATGAAAACTCTTAATGACTTTAAAATGTTTTAATAAGGTTTATTGTATTAATTAGGGAAGAAACAAAGGACAATACCACAGAAAATGATAACAATAATCTAAAATGCTGTTACATTAACAATTGTTATAAGAAACTTCAAGTCTACAACTTCTAAATACAAAAATCGAGAAAAGGCTGGTGCAGGTAGAAACAGTAACCTGTTTCTTTTAGAATAGGAACAATTAACAGGTACTTTCAGAATAGGAAGTACCTTAATTTATTAAACTAATTCTTTTTTTTAAAGTAAGCACTCTAGCACAAAACCATTTAGTAATTTAAGAAGATCAAACTGAAAAATCTAGATTTTGGTACATCAAAGAAACATTGATAAAAAAAAAGCAGTTTGTATACTTTGTATTTTTTTTTTAATAAAAAAACAACCATCTAGCACATAAAAGAACAACAACCATCTAACACATAAAAAAAAAAAACAACCATCTAACACATAAAAAAAAACAACCATCTAACACATTAAAAAAAAACAACCATCTAACACATTAAAAAAAAACAACCATCTAACACATTAAAAAAAAACAACCATCTAACACATTAAAAAAAAACAACCATCTAACACATTAAAAAAAAAAACCATCTAACACATAAAAAAACAACAACCATCTAGCACATAAAAAAACAACAACCATCTAACACATAAAAAAAAAATAAACAACTATCTAACACATTAAAAAAAAACAACCATATAACACATTAAAAAAAAACAACCATCTAACACATAAAAAAACAACAACCATCTAGCACATAAAAAAACAACAACCATCTAACACATAAAAAAAAAAAAAAACCATCTAACACATTACAAAAAAACAACCATCTAACACATAAAAAAACAACAACCATCTAACACATAAAAAACAACAACCATCTAACACATTAAAAAAAAAACAACCATCTAACACATTAAAAAAAAAACAACCATCTAACACATTAAAAAAAACAACCATCTAACACATTAAAAAAAACAACGATCTAATACATTAAAAAAAAAAAAGCATCTAACACATTAAAAAACAACAACCATCTAACACATTAAAAAAAACAACCATCTAACACATAAAAAAACAACAACCATTTATCACATTAAAAAAAAACAACCATCTAACACATAAAAAAATAAACAACCATCTAACACATTAAAAAAAAACAACCATCTAACACATTAAAAAAAACAACGATCTAATACATTAAAAAAAACAACCATCTAACACATAAAAAAACAACAACCATTTATCACATTAAAAAAAAAAAACCATCTAATACATAAAAAAACAACAACCATCTAACACATTAAAAAAAATGAATAACTCAATGCAAGAACTTGATGCTAAAGTTCAAACACTAAGATACACTATTCTCAGATTACCCTCTTATTTTATTTCAGTTAAGTTCTAAAGATTTTCAAACAATATTTAAAAAAGTCGAACATCTTTGACATTATTAAAGAATTCATTAAAAATATTTTTTTACACCCAAAAACTTCAGACCTAAAAACCCTTCTTTTTCTTCAAGTAAAAACTAAACTAGATGAACACATGATTAAAATTCAAAAACCTGTATGCCTAAATAAACTCTGGAATTGCATCTTTTGCAGAATATATAAGTTATTTTCATATTTTTCAAATAAATTTTAATTTTTTTCTGTATTTCAGATACAAGACAATTTATGTTTTACTTGTTTTGTATTTAAAAAGGTTTAAAAGTGTATTTAACAGAACTAAAAGTTGTTGTAATTCTTTTTTTTTTTAGTCCGCAAGCATGTCAAAAATAAATCTCATTTCTAGAATAGCAGAAGTATATGTAGTAAATTAAAGTCATTGAATTTGTTGGCAATTAAATAATCCTTATAGTATATGATGCTTTTATATTCTTTTTGTTTTTTGTATGATTCTTTTTAAAAATTGTGATATTATTTAAATCTTATTTTTTCTTAATTTACAATACTTGTGATTGCAGTTGATCAAATTTATTAAATCTCAAAGAACAAATATCTTAAAAATTTATTAAAGAATCAAGTGATTAATAAAGTGATAAATATTCAAAAAAAAGTCAGTTAAAGGTGGTTAAAGAATAAACTCTCGTCAGGTCTAAAAAAATTAATTGAAGAACAACAAAAGAGCTGTAGGCTTTGTTGTAATAACAGCAATTTCTCTTTTTATAACAAATGCTTTATTCTTAACTTGAACAGAAACTTTTTTACCGTTCCCAGATACCCCTGGCGTTAGGCTTTCTTTAACTACGATTCAGTTGCTACCTATTTAAATTCACTTTTATTATTTAACTTTAATTTAATTTTTTCTTATTTACTTTCGAAATAATAATTTTTACTTGTGTTGATAGATATTTAGTTTAAAATTTATAAAAATACGAAAAAAACTTGTATGAAAATAAAGTACATTGCTGTAACTAAATTACGTTTCAGTCAAAGAATGTAAAATTAGTAAAAGAGACCTTGAACCTTAAGCTGATGGATTTACATTTAATAATAAATAAATTAACTTTTCATAATTAAGATAAAATTAAAAAAAATTCAATTAAAGTATACTTAATCTACAAATTTTATTCTGTGAGATTTTATTGGAATGACAATCTACAATTCAAGTTCAATAAATAGAATTCTAGTATTGAAAATATCTTAAGCAGAATCTTATTACAATCAACTAAAATTTATTAGCAAATAAAATTCAGAGTTGACTTAAAATGACAGAGTTGACCAAATAAATTCAATGGAAATAATTACAACAAAACTCTTTGTTAAAGTTTTATGCTTATTTGATGCACTTGGAAAATATAAAACTATGTTTATATAAAACTATGTTTATATAGCATTTAAACTGAATGCAAAACCTTATTTGAAAAAAAAAAAAAAAAATACTGCTAGTTTTTCAAGGACTAAGTGTTTAGGTCAAAATCTCCATAGATATTAAAGATATAATTTTTGATATGATGATGTTAAAAAAGATTTTCAAAATAGAAATTAGCTGTTTTCATTTAATCCTATTTTCAAAAATCAGACACTTCTGTCCAGATCCATTTCACCAATTAATATAGTTTCAATATTAATATAGTTTCAATATTAATATAGTTTCAATATTATTATAGTTTCAATATTTATATAGTTTCAATAATAAATAAAACAATTATTCAAATAAAAAATAGACTTAAAAATTAAATAGATTTAAAAAAATATTTTCACCTCCCCAAGACTCGCACAGCCATATTTGTTGACAAGCCTACTCTTTTTTCTCGATTGATGTTATACCCCTAACGACCCTACAACTCTCCAACCTACAACTATTTGTAAGGTTATTAAGAGGTATACCTGTGTTATAACCCTTACAATCCTACAACTCCAAAGTACTGACCTTAAAAAACTACCAGAGAAGCAGTAGGTTAGATATATAGAGAGTTAACCATAAAAGTTTTAAATTGAGACATGTTTTGAGTGTAAATATTCACAAGTATTTGATAAATAATCAGATATTTTGTATCACGAAAGTATACTTTTTTGTAACAAAAAATTAACATAGAGATGTAAATAAATAAAAAAAAAACATAGGATGAGATCATTAGAAAATAATATTTGAAATAAAGATTAAACAAAATACACAATAAAAAATAATCAATAATAAAATGCCTTAATATAAAAATTTACTTTTTCTTTAAGTTCTGGCAAAAGCTTGTCCAGTTGTTTAATTTTTCCACTATCTAGTATGTCATCATCACATAATTTGTATTTTTTTAAGATAGATTGCGTGCTGCAAAGTTTATGCAGCTCAAAGTCAGACATAACTGACATGTCTTCGTAAACTAAATCCTTATCGCATTCATTGTTCATAGGACTCTGAAAAATTTTTAAATCCGTTAAGTTCTTGAACAACATAAAAAATATTAAAAACAATTAAGTGCATAATGCTTACAGAAACATAATCTTCTGCCATCTTTAAAATACTTGAATCACTATACTTGACTCTTACAAGCAGCGGGTGGTTTGTTGTTTTACGCAACAACATTAAAAGAGATAAACCCATTTTTTGATCTATTTTAAAAATCAAAAAAAAATTAATACGAGTGTGCTTCAGCTTAACATTAAAATTTTAATGTGCAATTTTGCTTTAAGGAGTTGTACATTTGTTAAGTCTTAATTTTTCAATTTTTTAAATATATTTTTAATAATACTATCTTTTTATAATACTATCTTCTACTTTCAAATTTTTTAATATATTTTTTATAATACTATAAAAAAATTTACCAGCTGTATTGTCAGAAAAGCGTTTTGCAAAAGATAAATAAATTTGTTTTTGACTAGCTGTTAACTCACAAACAACTGTACTATCAATTTTGTTTGGCATTTCTTTTAAAACCTGCATAAAACGAATACATATATATATATATATATATATATATATATATATATATATATATATATATATATATATATATATATATATATATATATATATATATATATATATATATATATATATATATATATATATAAACATTAACATTTGTTCATTTATTATATACATTTAACATTTTATAACTTTTGTTTAAAAAAAATGATAAAAACTAACATCTTGTTTAAGTCGGCGCAAAACAAAAGGTTTTAAAATTTTTTTCAGTCTTCCAATATGGTCATCTTCAATATTGTCACCCTGATAAACAAAAAATATTTTAAAAGTAACAACTTTATTAAACCTAATTAAAAATCTGACACTACTATTGAATCAACTGGCAACCAATACAATGTATAACATTCGATGAAATTGAATAAGACATTAAGTTAGCCACCTAAACTTTAACAATTTGCTTAAATGTAACAGATCCCTACAGTTTTGTAACAAGAAGCAAACAGAAACTTTAATCTTTCTTTGTAAAAACTGCTTGAAAATTCTTCAAAAAGGTTTGGCATTAAAAACGTCAGCAAAGAGATCAGCTCAATAACATCATTTTGAAAAGGTGTACCAGTCAGCAAAATCTTTCGAGGAGCCTAAAAAGACAACAATAGCACTGACTTTTGTAAAAATATAAAATTGTAACCTATTATCACTACAATTGCAAGAATATAAATTAATAAGTTTATATAAAAAAGAAAAACCTTTAGCTTGCTTAAGTGTTTAAAACGCTCTGTTTTCACATTTTTTATCATATGAGCTTCATCAAGAATTAAATATTGTAAATTTATACTCCTGAAAAAATTTCTATCATACTTGGTACCCAGTACATGATTGATGCTAAACAAAACACAATGATGCAAAACAAAATAGTATATTAATAAATTCGGAAAAAAAAAAAAAGTCAAATAACACTATAGTAAATATATAACAAAAATAACTTATCATAATAAAATATATTTACACAACATCTTCAAGTTAAAAATTAAATGCTTTTATTATATGCAAAACCCAAAAAGCTTAGTTTCATATTTTATTATATGCAGAACCTCCAAAAGTTTCTCATTTTATTATACTTTATTTTATTTGTACAAATATATTTACAAATCAGTTTGCGTTATTTTCTAGGCTCATAAAGAAAAATTAATTTTCATATTTTTCAATAAAAAATTTTTTTAACATGTTACTGGAGGTCAGCAGCCTGTAGTGTTAAACGACAAAGAATCATTTAAAAGTAACAAAAATAAATTTTCTATCACTTAATTGTAGAAAATTCTATGATATAGTTAAATTATTAAAATACATAGAAAAGCATACGTTGATATAATGACAGAACTTTCTTGAGTATCACTTTTTATATGTTGTCGTATTAGCGCTCTTTCACTCTGGGAACCTTTAAAAATAAAAAATAAATTGCAAAATATATAAAAAATACCTTTAATTCATATTTCAATTTTAGTATCATCTTTGAAATCTTCATTTAAATTGTTTAGATTGAAAATAAACATGTAAATAAATTAAATGTGAAAATAAAGGTTTATATATAAATTAAATTAAATGTGAAAAAAATTTTAAAGTAAAATTTGGAATAAAATTGAAAAGATCAAAAGTTGATAAGATAGGTAAAAAATATTTCATTTTAAAGTCTGTTTAGGATTTGATGTGTATTTGTTGCATAAATTTATTTTAGAATTGAAAAATATACCAGTATATTGAGTGAACGATACATTAGGCAGCCATTTTTCGAATTCACGAACCCAATTATCTAAATAAAAAAATTAAAATAGTCAGATTTTATCTGTATTACTGGTTCAACTTTGTTTTAGTAAATATTTTCATAACTATTCTGCAAATGAAAATCTATTAAAAAACCATGGTTATACTTTGTTTTAAAATACAATGATCATTAATTCCCATTTAACTGTAAAAGTAAAGTTTTTTAAAAGTATGTTGGACTTAGACCTCAAAAAGTTACAATGAAAATAATATTTAAAAAATAATAACCACTTTGAACAAATGTATTTCAATATAAGTATAGATGTGCTCAAAACAACTTGATGATGTCATAAAGCCTGTTTAAATCAAAACCCTCAGTTGATCTGAAACCATCATTTTCATGATCAGTTGATGAACTAAAACCTCTTTCATTTTCAGTTGCCAACTTAATGCTTTAATAGAATAATCAAGCTGTCATTAATATGCATTAGTGATTTATCTATTTACTTTTATTATTCAGCATTAAACTGATTGATCCTTCATTACTGTGGCTAGAAAAAATGCTCATTTTTTATTAAAACTTTGTGGCTTAAATTTTCAGTATATGTTTCTTAACCATAAAGATTTCAGATGTACTAAAATGATCAACTAAATATAGTTTTAAAAAAAAATGATCGACTTAATATAGTTTTAAAGCTTTAAGTATAATTTATTTATAGTTTTTTATGAAATTTTGAGTTTTATATATTATCGAAAATACAGGTTGAAAAATTAAAAAAATAATCTAGATGTATATGGGTGATATTTAGACGTATATCAATAATTGTGGTTGCCAAATATTTAATATTGGTATAATAGTGTATGAGTCTCATTTAGTTAGAAGTCATTAGATGATGATAAAAAATATATGTTTATATGTATGTAGTTTCTTTCATATGTTTGATCATAATGGGCTAGGTGTTCTGCATTATTTTGTAGAAATGTTATCAAATGATGTTAAAATATAATGATCATAACATCAATGGTGACACTTAGTTCAGCCAAGCACCAATGGTGATGCTAAGTTCAGCCAAAAGAAATATCAAATATAACTAAAAAATCATATGATTCAATAATTTTTACAATCTTTTATTTAATTATAACATGCTGTTTGGACAATAACAGTGCATGCTAAAATTGTTTTCAGGGTTGATAACACCAGAAACCTGGTGACCACATACCCTTGCCCAACTTATTTTCTCAAAATCAATTTTTTATTTTAAGAAAGAAAAACATTTTAGAAGAAACCTGATAGCAAATGTTAAACTATTCCCATATTCATGGCTAGCACCATGATGGAGATATATATTTGCCACATTGTCTTTCAAAAGATAATATATAATATTAAAAATATTAACAATAATATTATTACATTAGTTAAATGATGCAGATGAACACACAAAAAGAATGAATGAATGGTATGATATATCAGTGTTGTACGATCTAATTAAAATTGAGTAGTAGGCTAATGTAGGTAAAACTCCATCCTCCACTTCACGATAGATTTTACGATATTTTGAAGAACCTAATAAAAAAGACTAGTATCACTTAGGAACAGGGATCAATATTGTTTGTATTCATGTTTTTTACATGAATCATTCATGGTGTTAATGACCATGAATGATTCACGTAAAAAACATGAATCATTCATGGTCATTTACATTTATAGTAAACATAAATGTGTACATATTTAAATTTAATGAAAAACTTTGTTAAGCTACCAAGTACAATAATTTGTTGATTTTTTTTTTTACTGACACCTGCAATGTTTATCAAATAATGTTCACAAGAGCTAATATCAATAACATGATTCTAATATAATTATAAACAAAAGATAATAATAATTATTAGGCATATAAAAATCATTTCCTAGATTTATTTTAATTTTTAATAGAATAAATGTAAATTATGTATATACCCAAATTATCTTTAGATAATTTGTATATACATAATTTGAAATAATAATATAATGAAATATAATAATTACTAAATGTAATTACTTAATGTAATTTTTTAATCATTTTTAAAATTTACATCTAAATGAGTTTTTACTTTATTTTACATCTGAATGAGTTTTTACTTTAACCTAAGTCTGAATGAATTACTTTAATCTAAATCCAAATGAGTAAATGCATTAACACTTTGCAGTAATTTTTAATGAATAAAATACTAAACTTTGTAAAAAACAAATATACCCATTGTAGAGCATGGACATACAATCAAAGTAGTTCCTTTATGACCAGTTTCCAATAAATATCCTATAAAAGCTAAAGTTTGAACTGTCTTCCCTAATCCCATCTGATCAGCAAGAATTCCATTTAAGTTATTCCTATGCAGCATTACCAACCAATTTAATCCTACTAACTGATAGCTTTTCAATGAGACTCTAAATATAAATATCATTTTTTTTTTTATTTATTGGGTGTGCGCAAATTAAATATCATACATTTTTAAATATATTGGGTGTGTGCAAGTAAATTATGTGTGAACAAATTTTATTAAACACTTTTTTAGGTTATTTTTTATTTCACAAATTACTGTCAAGTGATGTGAAAATAAACAACAGGGTGTTTATTTACACCTTATCTGAATGAACAACACACTACCAAGTTTACTAAATGGTAAAGTAACATGCAAAATATAGCTAAACATTAAATTATCTTAATTCAGTCGACATCAAGTATAAAACGTAAAAGCAAATTTTGGCAACCCACAAAATATTTTTCCCTATACTTATATATTACATACATATTCATATAGATATGCATGTGTAATGCACACACACACACACACACACACACACACACACACACAAATAACTAAAATAAATCTAGGTTAGTTCATCTTTCTGATATTTTTAACATAACTTCTGATGTTTTATATAGTTTATGAAATTTCATATAGTTTCTAATGTTTTTTCCTGATATTTTGTTTAGTACTTGATCTTTTATGTAGTTTCTGATTTACAACATAGAAAACACCAAAAACTCTATGTAGTTTTTGGTGTTTTGTATATTGTAAATCAGAACTCTGTTGTGCATTGTTAAGACCACAAAAGAAGCCATAGGTTAACTAGTTAACTTTGGGTTAACTAGCAGTACTGAGACAACTGCATGGCTCAATGCATAGGATGCCGTGCTCTATCTTTGAATGAATCAAGTTCAAAAGTTTTTAACCATGCAAAAAGTAACTAAAAATATTAAACATAAAATTTCACTAGACATGCTTTCTCTTTGTGAGATTAATTTAAATTTGGCTGTTTCTTCTTCAAATCTCAGTACTCATGGCTATTACCCTTTGATTTGTAAAGACTTCAATAGCCACATGCTTGGCTGAGGCATATGCTTACATATCAATTCACCTATTTTTCAAGAAATCAAGTTAAATTAAAAGTTAAACACTTAAAGAATTTCTAATTTACAAGTTATCAAGCAAACTTTTGTTTCAAATAAAACTTGGTATATATTAATTATAGTATTAATAAAATATTTATAATTCCTGGATTATCTATTATTCAGTTACTTGACACTATAAAAATATTTTTCCACACAAAATATTGTTTTAGCAATTACCTGTTGCACAATCAAAACTATTTATTGATTTTTCTACTTTCACAAAAACTATTCATTAATTTTTTGATGGAAGTAAAAGAAAGTAAGAATAAAATGTGTTGTTAGTGAAAAAAACGCCTTGCTCTACCCTATAATTTTTGCTGTCTCTGCACCAGCTGCATCCTTTTACTGTTCCCTTATACTCTACAAACTTTTATTAATCTAGATCTTTTTCTCAAATAATGTTTTGGATTTTTATATAGTTCTCTTTCATCTATATGTTTTTTTTCATCTCCAACTAAAATAGTGGTTACTTATAGTCTTGTTGGAAGCAAATTTAAATGAAAAATTAGCAATATTGGGTGTACCATACCACTATTTTATGTCATCTGAATCAGCTTGGTTACAGCTTATCAATGGCAGCACTTGGAATATTGTTATTTTTTTAATGTTCTTTTGCCTAGAATTCATACGGTTGAGTATAGTATATTAGCGTTAATATAAAAGAATATATAAACTAATTTATACATACTTGTTTATTAATTATGTACAAGAAATATTTTATTATTTAAACTCATTTTTTAAAAAAGCTGTTATTTCTATCTAAAAAATTTTAAAAGAACTTTTTTAAATTTATTTGACTGCTTGCCTAATCCTAAACCCTCAGTTAATGTATGTACACTGTGCCCATCCTAAACCCTCAGTTGCTGTATGTACACTGTGCCAATCCTAAACCCTCAGTTGATGTATTTACACTGTGCCAATCCTTATTTAGGTCAGTCAATGGATGTACACTTGACTGTATATATATATTTAATAAACTTTTAAAGTTTTTTTTGAAAAAAATTAAGTGAATTTGACTTACACCTATTTTTTAAATATCTTTTTGACACAATTCATTATAATTATATAACAGCCATTTTTAAAACTTTATTTATTTTCAAACAAATTATAAATTTAATGTAAAACAAACAACTGCACTAAATTATATAAATTCATAAATAAACAACTTTTTACTTTTGGAATTAAAAAAAAGTAAATTACAATTTTTCCATTTTTAGGTGTGATTAATTTGACTTGCCCCTCATTTCCCTATCACCCTGTAGATAACTGGAGTGCAATTCAACTGTGATTTATCCTTTCTCTTACCTGCTTTCTAACTGGACATTTTTACAACAATTTAAAAAAATTCTCATTTGAGATTTAGCCATGCTTTTTTTAGCTAGGCGTATTTATTATTTATAATTAGACATATTTATAATTAGGCGTATTTATAATTATTTACCTGTTTTTATTGCAACTATTGAGTTGTTCAGTCACTTTTTTAAAAATTACTTAATTTGGTAGTTGTAAGGTATCACATGTCTCACAAAAAAAAGTGGGTGTTTGAGTAAGAAAATTCTTTCTTGATTAAAAGTAAGTATTAGTTAAAAATATGAGAACATTAATAACATGCAAAAAAAAAATTAAAATAATTTTACTTTTCATTGACTAAGGAAGGCTTTTGAATTGGTAACTTTGTGACATCGTTGCAATGTAAGAACACCTTAATTATCAAAGATTTTTCTTTTGTTTAGTTGGTATTAATAAATAAACAAATTCATTTTTCTAAAATAAAACTATAATAAAACTGATACCTCAGATTCAGTTTGTCTGCTCATTGCTTCACATTGTGCAATTAGTGATTGAAATTTTTTTTGTTCATCCAAAAGATTACTACATTCGCTTAAAAACTAATAATTTAACCAAAAAAGTGAGAAAAAAAAAAAATCAAAATTCACTTCATGAACCACAAAACAAACACTCTAAACACTTTGAAGAATTACAGCACAAATTTTCACAAACAAATTAAAAAATATTGTTTTTCTAAATAACATACCGTGTTTATGGAAAAACCTCTTAACTCATTAAGTTTTTCAACCTATGGTTAAAAATATAAAGAAATATATATACTTATATATATATTATACATACAATAAAAATTATATATATATATATATATATATATATATATATATATATATATATATATATATATATATATATACTTACATGTGTTATTATATATATATATATATATATATATTATATATATATATATATATATATATATATATATATATATATATATATATATATATATATATATATATATATATTATAAATATTATAAATTAGTAGAAAATCGCTTAACAAAAATTTTTCATTTTACACTGTGTTCCATCAATAAAGAAACATTAGAAATGAATGAACAATTAATAAACTTCAATTTATACCAAAAATTTAATTACAAATTTTCACACATTTTGTGGAATATGCTGACACTATTATAAAAATAATTCTTAAGAATTGATTACTTCTGCTTTTTTTAATATTTTTTAAAGGGGGGATTTAATGTAATTATTATTTGAGCTCACTTATTTTCATAGGTTTTTAGTAGTTTCAACTTAATTTCGTGCCTGCACATAGAAATCAATTCTGATTTTTTGTTTAATAAACATTCTTGGTTAACATGTATAAATATTTCAAGTTTTTCTTGTAGGCATAGTACACATTTTTTGGAAATATTGTTATATGCAGGTGCTGTTTTAAAGTTTGACCAATTCAGTATAAGATCATCAATATTTTAATGATTTTATAATGAATATCTTTTAATTCCCATATGTATTTTGACATCATGGTTTCTTTTGAATACTTTTTATTTTTAAGGAATTGCTTATGATTGGCAAAACGTTTTTTTCCATTCACCCTATGTTAAGCCAATATATTGTTTATCAGGTACATCAGAGGAAACAACACATTGATAAACAATTTTTCCTCAATGGACAATTGTTCTTTTGTTTACGATAACAATTTTCTTTTTTGATTTAGGATTTCTTTTTTGTTTAACAAAACATTATTGCAACCTTTTATAATTCTTTCCATAACTTTTGTGCAACTTTTGAGCTAACTTTAATTCTATTTTGATTAAAAATTTTATGTAATTTAGTAAAGGGTCGGAAATGCTTATTGACCAATTTTAAAAACATCCTATCCTATGTTAGTGGAAACATTTTTTCTATATGGGAAGAAGGGGGGGGGGGTTGAATAAAATTACATTTCTAGTTCTATTTTGTTTTTTTATATTCTTTTTTTCAGGGTCAAATTTTATTTCAAATTTTTAAAAACTACTTTTTTTAAGGGCATCTTCAAAAATTTGTTTAGAGGAATTGAATACATTTTCATCAGAGGATTATTGGTTTAGCCTGTTATTAACTGAAATTGAGATTTGTTTTTCTTTTTCCAAGTTTTAAAATTAAAATAAAGTAAGGTTTTTCTGAATGTTTTATCATACATTTAATTATTATACATTTATTATTGTTTTTTGAGAAATAACTGCTTTTTGCAAATTCAATTGTTTTATCTAAAACATCTAGAGTTATTGAGAGATAAAATCAAATTGTCAAATTAAATAAATGTACAGTCATTTTTATTTTCAATTATGAAGAACCAATTTATAACATCAGTGGTATTTTTCAACTGTTGTAAATTTAATTTATTTTTAAGAATATAATTAACTTTGTCCAATTTAATTTTGCTTACATGTCCAATCTCCCTTTTTGAGGGAACCAATAACCTACAAGGGAGTTTAAAAATTTGGTTTATGGTCTTTAAGTGTTACAAAGGCTTGGGCAGGGGCAGTTGATTCAATTCTGTTATCAAGGTTTATTTTTTTAACAATACTTCTAAATTAATTGCATTGTTCAAATTTTTTTTTCATAAGAACTGGTAAAATTATTGAGTAAAATTTTTCACAGTTTCTGTTGAGAGTTGGTAAATGTGAGTTGGTAACCTAACTTTAATTCTGTTTGAAACTCTTATAGGGTGAAACTTTATTGTTTAATTGAATGCAATAGGTCATTTTCCAAATTTTCCAAATCAGGTATAAAAGGTGGAGTGTTTTTTGTTTTAAATCCATAATTATCATAAATATCTTGGTTATTATTAAATACATCATCTATGTTAGTTTTTGGTTTTAAGAAAAAAGGGCTTTCTAACAAATTCTTTTAATAAAATGGCCAATATTTTCAATCAAAGTGTAATTTTCTTCATCTAGTATAGGTATATTTCTTAACAAGTATGTGAAATTATTAGTTTCCATATTATATATATATATATATATATATATATATATATATATATATATATATATATATATATATATATATATATATATATATATATATATATATATATATATATATATATATCAGAGTAGCCACATAAAATTTTTATGAGAAAAAGAAGATATTAGAGGATTTTAGAGGAGATTTTACATTTAATTTAAAGGAGTTTTTACGCAAAATTACAAAATTTTTAATATAAATATAGGATTTGATAGGACTTTTTTTTATAGGTTTAATGCCCATGTTTCCAAATAACTGGGGTTTGGACAGGAGTAAACAACCTCATTTTTAATGTTAGATGACATGGATTTGCTAAAATTAATTTTTTACACCTTAATCCTTATTTCAGATGTTAACCAGTTTTCCAGACAATGAATTTTTAACATTATACAATCATCAAGAAATGAAAAAATAAAAAAGAGGACTTAAAGAGGAGATTTGATCACATTTGTAACTTTTTAGAGGATAATAGATGATTTTAGAGGAGATTCTTTCACTTTTTTTTTCATTCTTTTCTAAAAAAGCCGTATGGGTTAAGTTAAGCAAAAAAAGTGAGCAAATGCTTATAAAAATACGCTTTAGTAAATGTGTGTGTGTGTGTATGTATATATATATATATATATATATATATATATATATATATATATATATATATATATATATATATATATATATATATATATATCATATCACTTAACAAAAAATATATATATATATATATATATATCATATCACTTAACAAAAAATTTTTATTTAACACTGTGTTTCATCAATAAAGACTCATCAGAAATGAATGATCAAATTAATAAAACTTAAATTTTTACCAAAAGTTAAATTACAGGAAGTCGTAAATGTCTTAACTTCTGTAAATTTTATCACAATTAGTGGAATATGCTGAACAGTTATAAAAAAAATTCTTAAGAACTGATTAATTCTGCTTTTTTGAAGAAATATTTTTTAAAGAGGGGGGCCTTAATGTAATTATTATTTAAGCTCGCTTATTTTTATAGTTTTTTAGAAGAAACTTATTTTCATGCCTGCATTTAGAAAATAATTACACATGCAAACCAAGATTGTTTACTAAGCAAAATATTGGAATTGATTAATAATCTAAATTTTTGTTAAGTGATTTTCTAAAAATTTATTATTGCTCTGTTCTTTTAAGAGCATTGAGCACTCTATTTTGTAGAATACATTTTAAAATTGTTTATATACATAATATATACTATATATTATATGCAAATATTATACATATTTAGTATATTACATATACTATATATATTTATAATATATATTATATATATATATATATATATATATATATATATATATATATATATATATATATATATATATATATATATATATATAACATGGATATATATATATATCCATGACCATATATTATATATATTATAATATATATGGTCATGGAGTAACTGATCAAGAAGTAACTGATTCGTGGACTGATCCTTAACACCTATTATTTACCAGTTTATTTCTATACTTATTTCTATACTTACTGCTTTTTTATGCTTACAGCTTTTTAATCACTATATATCTTAACTAGATCTAATCAAAATATTTAAAAAGGTTTTAGTTGTGACTAAACTATTTATTAATTGCAATTTTTTTACTAACTGAAAGATTGTCTATAATAACTGAAGGTTATTATATGTTATTATAATAACTGAAGGATTGCCTATAATAACTGAAGGTTATTATAGGTTATTATAATAACTGAAGGACTGCCTATAATAACTGAAGAATTGCCTATAATGTTATATATGAATATTCATATATAACATTATAGGCAATTTTTTCAACCAATTTTTTGTGCAAGCTGTCTGTTTATTAATTAATAAAATTGCTTATTAAATACAAAATTTTAATTTTATTTTCATTACAAACATATGTAACGTCAATACTACAAGCATATAAGCATAACAGGCTTCATTTATCATGCTGTGAAAACTTATGAAATATCCCATTTTTGAAAAAATTCTTTTGACAAGCAATTTCTATGGACTTCACACAAGGTATCCATTTATTTATCAACAACTTTACTTATTCCATAAAAAATTTGATAATCAAAATTTGATAATCCATAAAACTTTTACTGCTTATAAAAAATATCTTATATATTCTAATTGTTATATATTCTAATTGTTATAGAGTGCAGGAAGCTTAATAATAATTGCAACAATTAAAAATTCCATAATAAAAGTGTTTATATAATTACAATTAATTTTGAACAAAACTTTTAAAAGTCAATTATATCTTTTTAATTTTCTCAAATTGAGACAAATTTATATATATTCATTATATATAATTCATTACATTATATAAAAATTTTGTATTATATAATGACTTTGACCAAGTATAAAATTAATATGAGCAAAATAAAAAAAACAGCTCTCACATACAAAAGAATGTTTACTTTACTGTTTTAGGCTGATACCAATGCTGATACAGATTAACTATCCAATTATAAGAATAATCGTTAATTTAAACTAAGTATTACAGGAATAAGATAATAAATAAAAAGGTATATATACTTAATACGCTTTTTTATTTTATTTTAAAAGGCAACCATTGATTTTACCATGAAGTGAAACTAAAGACTTGTATCTATCTATCTATCTATCTATCTATCTATCTATCTATATATATATATATATATATATATATATATATATATATATATATATATATATATATATATATATATATATATATATATATATATATATATATATATATATATATATATATATATATATATATATATATATATATAATGCGTCAACGAAGTGAATTAAAAGCAACTTATCATAAACAATAAATATATTTTCAGTCTAAAAATAAAAATGTTTTAAACATTATGAATATTTAGTATTTTTGAAATACATGAATGTTTGTAAAAACTTATTTCATAAAACTTTTTTTACCATGACCAGCAAGAATATAATTTTGGAGGTCAAAACACCAATTTTTATTATTTTATATTATTTTATATACTATTACAATTATTTTCTTTTACTCGACTAGATTATTTATTTACTAGTCGAGAAGGAAACATTGTAATAGCAAAGCTAATCGAGACGAGTTCCCTTCGTACCAAAGTACTACTCATATGCTGAGTAGACGGAACCGGGATTTGAACCTGCAATCCTGCTGCTATGGCCAATAATTATTCCGAACTTTATAGCAGCGCTTTAGCCAACTGAGCTATCCCGGCTCAATCCTCATAGCTTTGTTGAACATTGGCTAATAAAAAAAAGTAATGTTGAGAACCTAGATTTGTATATGTATATATATATATATATATATATATATATATATATATATATATATATATATATATATATATATATATATATATATATATATATATATATATATATATATATATATATATATATATATATATATATATATATATAAATTATGTAATACATAGATTACATCTCTGATGAATACAAAATAAATTTCATTAACATACCATGTTATTATAGTCATGAAAAGGAAGCAACCCTTTAACTTTTTCAGCTTTTTTTAAAGAAAATCCAGGAATAAGAACAAGATCTTCTAGTGTACATGTAGTTATAAAATCAAATAACATCTGCTTTCTTATTATATCATTATTTGTACTGCAGTCCAAATCACTTTCATCGTGGCTAATATCTTCCTCAAAACTATCTTCAAAAAAAATTATTTTCTTTTTCAAAACAATTAAAAAATAATAAATAAAAAAAAGAAAAAACTATTACTATTTACTTTATTTGAATTATTATTATATTGTTTCATTTTTATTTAGTTATAATTTCTTTAGTGTACTATAATTTAATAAGTCACCTTTATGTTTAAAAGGAGACTGGACTTTACAGAGATCTGTTGGATCATCTTTATCACCATCACTATCAGAAAGAACTACTCTATTTCGCTTATATTGCTTTTTCTCTTCTTCATCACTTTCACTTTCTATAATGCATTTTCTCTTTTTTTGGTCTGACTTTTCTAAAGAAGTCAAGCCTTTACATAATAAAAAATATTAAATTCAAATGTAGTTTACAACTATATATTTATGCATACATAAATATATCCATACATACATGCATACACACACAGATATATACAGGGTTCGTAGCCACATATTTATATAAAATTCCCTGACTTTTCCCTGACTTTTTTGAAAAATCAGATGAATTCCCCTGACCATTTTTAACATTTGCAATGGTTTTTATCAAATGTTTAAAATTACTACTGTAATGAAAATGCTAAAATATACATGCTTAAAATGACAAAACTTATAAAACTTAGCTATTAGTTAAGTTGAATGTTAGTCTAGATTTTATTATACATATTAGTATGGATCTTATTATTAAGGATGACTAAGAATGAACACTAAGAAGTTTCAGGTGAGCTTCATAAAAAATCTAAATATTATGCATATAAAATTTAATTCCAGATGATTTTTATGAAAATCTAAATATTATGCATATAAAATATTTTATAAATTATTTTTCACTAACACAAAAATAAATTAAAATGTCTATGTAGATATCTTTCAACATCTTGAGCAATATTTGGTCTATAACAGAGGCTACTTTGATTTAGTCGTTTGTTATCACTATTTGTAGCTGTACCTTCGCTAATTCAACAATATCTTTAGATAAAAATAGCACAGTATAACAAAACATGTTTAGAAACATTGAAAAAAAAACTTTAAATTAATTTTAAATTGCATATATTTTTTAAGCAAAATCTTATATTGAAAAAATAATTATAGTTTTTTAACTAGCCATATTTGCATAAATGTCAACATAAATAATATTTTATATAAACAAGCAAATAAATTGTCAAAAAGCAACGATTGCTAATTCAGTTTCTTTCTATTCTCTTCTAATATCAATAATGTTTCCTGCAACTTAGCTACGTCTTTCATTTTCTCCTCACTTTTCCTTTTTAAAGCATTCGCTTTGCTAACCAATGATTAATTGTTTTCTTTTTCCGCTTGTTCCACAGTTAAGACAAACTCTTTATCTAGCATCAATGAAGTTTTTGTAAGGAAACCCATTTTAGAATTTAGCTCTTTAATTTCAGACAAAATGGCTTTCTGATCTAGCATTGCATGTTTTTTATTCTTTGACTCCTCTTCCTCAAGCATGATCTGGTATTTTTGATGTGCAGATTTAAAGGCAACTTTCATTTCTGATGTAATCTGGACAGAGTGGGGGTTGAGGTTGTTGGTAAGCATGAAATCATGCACAAGACGCTGTCCAACAATTCCATCTGTTGATATATTATCGGTAACCACATCCTTATTGACACTAAACCCCTGTTCAACTGATGCCTGTCCATGACTCAGAGTCAAAACCAAATTAATGACAGATGACAACTCTGGATACTTTTTTATGTCAATGTTTTTGAAGTAAAAATCATCAAGATGTTTATTCTTTCCATCATAACTAATGAAAACATCCTGATTCATAGCAAATTCTGATGAAATAAACTTTGAGAACTGGCTGATAACTTTGTCAGAATAAGAAGCAGTTAATATTCCAAGTGAAATAAGATGATGCAGCCATATTCATTTGATTCCTATTTTTTTCAGGTGTGATCTGAGCATAAAAATTTGGAAGCAAACAAGTACTCGTGTTAACAATCATGGAATCAAGGGGACATCTTTTAAATAACTTTTTAGCAGCTGAAATCAAAATGGGCATGCATTGAATTTTAAATTCTTTCTTATCTTTCAGAATAACTGCATCATTCTTTCTGAGCTTTGACAGTGATAACTCAGCAGCAAACCCAATATCAATTTCACTGGGTTTCAAATGGTTCTCTTTATTTTACAGATCAATTTTGGCAAGTTTTGAGCTAGCCTCAATAGTTTCAGATTTAATGAACATCCTAAGAATACTCTTAATCAACTGCACAAGATCACCATTCATGTGAGGTAACATTGGAGCGTCTGTCGGATAGAACTTCAGAAACAGTTCAAACATGCTCGCCAGGTAGCTAAAAAACTGGAATTTTACAAGGGAAAGTTCTTTTTTAACAGCATTAACAACAAACTTATATGATTTGCAAGATTGTCGTTTACTTTTAGGCAGAGCCTCCCAATAATTAACAATTTTTATAACAGACGGCCAAATACTAATTAATCTATCCGCTACTTTTTTATCTTCAACCCATCTGGTTGCGCAAAATGAAAGCGGGAACACAGAACCTTTAGTGATACTGATAAAGTCACTTCTTCTGGCAGGAGAATCATGAAATAAGGTAAAGCAGCTTTTGAATGTCTTTTAAAGTTCCCAATCAGTTGATTCTAATGTCAATAAGTTTAGATATTTCGTGCTCTTCATGTTTGCTTTGAATGTCTCTGTGAAATTTCAAGTTGACACTGGGTCCATCCATAGAGACCTGAACAATTTTGCTGATATTAAGATCACTTATCTTTTTATTAAAATGATTTACCAAATCAAGACTAGTACTATGTCCCATAAACGAGGAATCCCAATACCTCACTTTAACTTGCATTTTTTCTTCATTTCAATACCGGATGAGTAAATCCATTTGACAAGTTTGAGTTTTTTTGTTGAGGGATTCATCAAACGATACGATAAGCCAAGGAGATAGGCTCAGTTGTTGCTTAAGTAAACCTTTAAAATAAGGCCCAAGACCATGAGTGATCCTATATCCAACTTTATTTGGTCCCATTTGAAAAAATTTAGCAATCTCACTGTCAAGAAACATTGCTTGAAATAAATTTGTCACATCTTTGTTTGAATTGTTAGAAAATCTATTTAAGCAACAATGCAATGCCCACATAATTTCTGCACAGATTTTATTAGAATTTGATACGATGAGTTCTAAAGATTGCTGCTTCATTTGTCCTGTTGAGAAACAGCTATCTGAAATTTGTCCTGTTAAGAAATCAGCTATCTTTAAATTAGATTCTTCTACTGAATTAGGTGAATTAGTATTTTTAGAGGCAGATGATTTAAAAAAACAAGAGAAATTGCTTGCAACTGAAACATGTTTTTTTCCTTTCTCGTGACTTTTTATTGCTTGAATACCCATATTTAAAAGTTCAATTATTTTATTGCATAATTTGCATCTTGCCCCAGGCAAGATGCAAATTATGCAATAAAATAATTGAACTTTTAAATATGGGTATTCAAGCAATAAAAAGTTATTTATCCCTTTCCTTAGCCAAGAGTCAAAATGAGGGTAAATGTCTTTATTTAACCATTCTTCTTTAAAATAAGCTTTTTTTTCTATTTTATTCATTATTTTAATTCTAAAAATAGAAACAAAATATTTCAAAATTATTTATATTTATAACATAGGGCACTGTAACAATTTCATTGTTTTAACTTTAAAAAGCTTTTTTCATTTTTAAAATTCATTTTCATAAGGATTTTAATCTAATAGTCATTGTAATGCTTATAGAAACCTATACTTTTTTTATAAAAACTTTCAAAAGTTTTCAAAAAAGTTGAAAATCTTCGAAACTTTCTTTAACTTATGTAACTTAAAATAAAAAAAGAAGTTTTTCGCTTTGAGGACACAGAAATGTTTAAAGTTAAAGATGCTGTTGTTTATAGAATAAATTACAGAAATAGTTTTAAACGATTGAAATTGATCATAAAAAATTAGTTTTTTTATAATAAATAAAAAAAGGAACATACACTATTATTGTAAAAATAAAATAATAACCATAGATAATTTAAATAAAATATTTTTATTGAAAACAATTGTTAGCAATAAGAGCGTTTTGCATAATAAAAATACATTTAAAAATATTCAAGTTTTAAAAAAGTTAAAAAGCCATGGTCAAATTGTTAAAATAAAATATTATATGCGTGGTCATATAAAGGTTTGCCATCACATGCCTTCCTGTGAAACACTGTAGGGTATTTTTTAATTGTCAAAATAAATGGGAAGCACCAACAGAAACATAATAGCTTAATTGTAAAACGAGTAGTTTCTCAATCAGAATTCCCTGAATACTTAAAAAAAAAAATTTCCCTGACTTTTCCAGGTTTTCCATGACTTTAGCCAAATTTGGCTGATTTTCCAGGTTTTCCAGGTACAGTACGAACCCTGATATATATATATATATATATATATATATATATATATATATATATATATATATATATATATATATATATATATATATATATAAAGTATAGGTTTCTATAAGCATTACAATGACTATTAGATTAAAATCCTTATGAAAATGAATTTTAAAAATGAAAAAAGCTTTTTAAAGTTAAAACAATGAAATTGTTACAGTGCACTATGTTATAAATATAAATAATTTTGAAATATTTTGTTTCTATTTTTAGAATTAAAATAATGAATAAAATAGAAAAAAAAGCTTATTTTAAAGAAGAATGGTTAAATAAAGACATTTACCCTCATTTTGACTCTTGGCTAAGGAAAGGGATAAATAACTTTTTATTGCTTGAATACCCATATTTAAAAGTTCAATTATTTTATTGCATAATTTGCATCTTGCCTGGGGCAAGATGCAAATTATGCAATAAAATAATTGAACTTTTAAATATGGGTATTCAAGCAATAAAAAGTCACGAGAAAGGAAAAAAACATATATATATATATATATATATATATATATATATATATATATATATATATATATATATATATATATATATATATATATATATATATATATATATATATATATATATATATATATATATATATAGTGCCACTAAAAACAACTTTTTTTGAAATTGTCTGCTGCCACCCCCTTAATGATCATTAACATAACATAAACATCAAACAAGTCCCTTATATTTAAAAAAAAAGTTCTTCAAAAGTATATCATGTTGGTTCTCAAAAGAAGTGAAATTTTATAAAAATTTCAAAAATAATAATCATTTTTATATAAATATTACTAGTTTAAATTTTATGGCCTAAAAACTATAATTTTTTGACAAAAAAAAATTATAAGTACATATTTTCAAAGTTTTTTT